TAGAATCAAAATATGGAAAAAATTGGCATGTCATATCAGAAAAAGTCCAATTTTGTGTCAAAATACCTATATTAGAACAATGCGGTATGTAAATCTAATATATATCCTAAGTCGCGCTTTCGAGATATGAAAAAAGCAATTTGAATTTCGACAATCAGCCCAGTAGAACGAAAGATATAGAACTTCCCCCCTCCCCCCGCAGTATACACTGTACTCTCGATTACTCGGGCTAATAATGAAGGGGAAGCAGATCACGGATAATCCATGGTATCAATTTTCATGCAAATGATATGTTGTTTTTGTTTCTTAAAAAAAGTCAATAACTTTATTTTGTTTTTGAAAATGTTTAAATATTTGTTGAATTTAACTGTGTATTTTTGAAGTGGTATTTTATCATTTTATTCGAATCCCCTTTGGTCGAACAAGTCCATTGAACTTAACAGAAGCCACTGGAGCCTCGGTACTAATGCTTAATTGTCAGTAGCTTCTCTTATATTCAGTATATCTCTGCTTCTGTTCTTGTGACATTTGAAATGATATTCGCTTCACTGAAGGCTCAGTAGAAATAGCACAGTTGAACCTTTCCTCGATGTTTTCCCGATCGACATACTCAAAGAATTTTAAATTTAAATTTTTTTTTTTTTTTGGCATACCACTCCAGTTACAATTGCCTAGACTTCTTCGCAACTAGATAAATCTCCGATTTCTATGCTAGGAAGAATCTTTCTCCATGCTCAGGCTTGAGTTTATTTTTTACATACTCTCGAACATACTCTTGAGAAGGCGAGAGTGGGCACCGTCACACATGGATAATCCGCATCCGTATAATCGAGAGTAAACTATATATCCAAAAAAATATCTGAATCTGAAAAGTATACCGAAAATTCGTTTTTATTTTTGGCAAATCTGCGGTTATATAAGCAAAAACAGGAAAGACAAAATATATTACATGAGAATTCCATTTGAAGTTTGCTAGATTAATTCAGTAATTAAATGATATAAAGCAGAAAAACTGATTGCAACATGCATAATTTATTATCCATTACGATTTTCGTAAATCACATTTATTTGAAAAATTTTTTTTTGCTCATCTACATATTATAATGCTTATGTCAGACTGTCGTATCGAAGGCCGAGGTTCGAATCTCAGAAAAGGCATGGATGCAAATTGTCTGTTCCTTCATAGGAGGCAACGGTGGCTCACCTATTAGGTGCCTCCATAATAAATTGATCACCGCTTCCAGCCTTAGTAGTACCTATAATGACTAGTGGGGAGGGGAATAATAATGCTTATGTTACTCTCTGACTAGAGATAGGGCCACACAAATGGCACTTTACCAGAGCTCTTAACCCTTTGAAGGCTAAAATGCCCTAGACGGTTTTTCATTCAAACTACTACAACCGCTAGAAAAGGTCGAGACTGAAATGTTGTTCTCTTCCTTCACCCTAAGCAGTAGCAGGTGAAGTTTCTTCAAATGCATTGTATGAGTTTATTGCAGACAGCTTGTCCTAAAAGGCAAATGGAAGCTTCTTTGTTAGGAAACAGAAAGGATGTCATTTGAAATCTTCACACCCGTTACTGGACGGGGAGAAGAGGAAACAAACGAGACTAATAATGAATGGGGACAGGCGTTTCGGTATTTTAAGCATACAGGTTAAAGAAGGCTTCGGTTTTCTGACGGTTAAACTTGTCCAACGGCGAAGAGGCGGCAAGAAAAGCTCTGGTTTGGGGGATAACTTGAAAATAAATAAAGCTATTAGAGCAATTTTCACAGCTTTCTTTCTGTTCTGTAAACTGGGCGTTCATTCTAATCGCTCTCTGATGTCCGATTTCTTGAAGATACTTTAGCGGAGGAGAATTGAAAACATTGCTTTCTCGCGGATCAGACATGTTTACTTATTTCGTAAATAAATCTGTCTAATTGCGTATATGTGTTTTCGCTTCTGACTGCGTAAGCACAAAATAATATGGAAATTTCGAATTTTCACACATTTAAATTTGCACAAGCAGATTTTTCACAAAGCGTATTGTATAAATTGGCTTAATATTATGTGTTTTATCAAAACATTAAATATGTACAACAGTAAAATTATGTTCTGTGTTTACTCTTTCTAAACTGCAAATGCTTTCTTCTAAAATTTTCCCATATATACTCGTTTGTGCAAAATTAAGAGAATTTACCTATTATGTCAAATTTCTGAAAAACTAATGGACAGATTCTAATGAAATTTTGCATGAATACGCATTTATAAAAGAGATTTACCATTCAAAAGTCATTTTATGTACGCATGATTATCAGTAAAGCTCATAGTGCAGGGATGTCCAAATTCCACGCTGTAATATCAACCTGAAAACGATTTTAATACTGGAAATGGTCCCCTCTTACAGTCAGACAGATCGCACGTATTGAAGAGTTGAGGAGTCCCTGTGGCATTCGATCTCACTCCTGCACTCAATAACTCCGAGGTGATTCTCGGAAGGGAATTGCCAGATGAAATTGTCCTTGCAAGAGCGTCACAGACACGCTGTATAGGGTTAAGGTCAGAAGATCTGGTTGGCCAATCCAAAAAAAAAAAAAAAAAAAGGGGGGGGGAACTTAATTTTGTGTTTTTGAAATATAAGAGCAAATAACGAAGAATGCTAATGCTTTGGATTCTAAATTTATTAAAGATATTTTATCAAGATCTGTAAGATATAAACTCGACTTTCATAAACTTGACCAAGGAATCCATTTGACTGACTGAAGGAATTACTCATCAAGGAAGCCGTTCATTTAACTTATACAACTCACCAGACGATATAAAGACGATTCCGCACTATTCCAGATAATTTTAAGATAATTTTAGTCAGATAAGATGGTCGCCTTAGAGAATGGATATTCTCTACCGATATTTATTCCCGTTTTAAGAAATACTGACCATTTTCGGAGGTGGTCGTCTATTGGAGGTGATCGCCATGATAGGTTTCACTGCACATATGTGCGTATTATTTCTATAGTGCTCATTGGATATTAAATTAAACATTATTTTTCTAGAATTAAAAAGTTGAAAATATTTAATAGTCTACCCGTTACTGGACGGGGAGAAGAGGAAACAAACGAGACTAATAATGAATGGGGACAGGCGTTTCGGTATTTTAAGCATACAGGTTAAAGAAGGCTTCGGTTTTCTGACGGTTAAACTTGTCCAACGGCGAAGAGGCGGCAAGAAAAGCTCTGGTTTGGGGGATAACTTGAAAATAAATAAAGCTATTAGAGCAATTTTCACAGCTTTTCTGTTCTGTAAACTGGGCGTTCATTCTAATCGCTCTCTGATGTCCGATTTCTTGAAGATACTTTAGCGGAGGAGAATTGAAAACATTGCTTTCTCGCGGATCAGACATGTTTACTTATTTCGTAAATAAATCTGTCTAAATTGCGTATATGTGTTTTCGCTTCTGACTGCGTAAGCACAAAATAATATGGAAATTTCGAATTTTCACACATTTAAATTTGCACAAGCAGATTTTTCACAAAGCGTATTGTATAAATTGGCTTAATATTATGTGTTTTATCAAAACATTAATGTATGTTTTGATGTTATTATTACTATTATTTTAATAAGGGGCACTCTCGTAACTCAATACCTCTAGGCAATCGTCTAGTATTGCCTAATGGTATAACCGGCTCTGTATACATGCACGATACATATATGTTCGATTATTAAAACCGAAAAGCTCCCTATTCAGCGTAAATCCCAGCTGCTAAGGGATGCTATTTATTGGATAACAGAAATGTTATTTGCAAAGAAACGAAAATGACGCAATTCGCCGGTAGCCCAGAATTACAGGGAAACGGAGAGGTGGTTCACTGTCAGCGAAAAGCGCTCTAGTTATTGAAGAAAGTACTCTATTCATTAAATTGTGGTTATACAGAATAATAATAAAAAATTAAATTATTCTTTCGTCAAATACTCCCAAAATTTCACTTCAAATATTCGAATTCTATTCGATTTCATAAAAAATAATGTACAGGAAAAATGAAATTTTCAGGAAAAAGGACCGACTCCATTTTATTAGAAAGGGTTTACAGTGTAAATAGTACACTGTTTCTGGACATTCTTGTATTCAAATTGATTTAAATCAACACGTGTACCGTTTACAAAATATCTTAACAGTGCAAAATAATGCATCACACACACACACACACACACACAAAAAAAAAAAAGGGGGGAAGGAAAATGTTTACCGCTTTGTGAAAACATTTCCTGCCTACGCATTGTAACGTATATGCACTATGAACAACGCGTAGAAATTACGCAGTCTTTAAAAAAAAAAAAAAAAAAACTTTTTTCTTAAAAGTTATCTGCTTTACAAATAAAGTCATAGTCAAAATAGAATGTTGCCTTTTCGCTGCCTTGCCAATTAACTATTCGTTAATTCTACTACTTTTTTTTATTTTTATTTGGACCAATATTGCTGATCCCGGAATGCCGCCGCCCTATGCAAATGAGCATGTGTTGCACTGTCTGTAGCCGCCTCTGGTCATCCTAAAAATTACTAACTAAGCAATATAGGTCTATCGAGAACTATACTGCAGTAGAAAATCTAACTGCCTCTTTAAAATTATCAAGAAAACTGCTTTGAATAGTATGGAAACATTCCACTCATTTTCAGAAATAAAAGAAATAAACGATAATTTAATGGTTTTTAGGAAACAGAAACTACTACATTTTGTTCAATACACAAGCTAATCTTACCTGAACTTTCGTAGCTTATAATTCAAAATTCGTGTTTTATTTTATCAATAGAAATCGCGAAAACGCGCCAATTCTAGTGCATTTGTGATTAGCAACCCTACCGGCAACGCTAGCATTCATATCCAGCAGCTTCAGTGAAACAACGGCAGTTAGTACTATTTCCTGATTTTCTGCGTTCTATACTTACCGTACCGCATGTTTTTTCAGACATTAGCTGTCGTAGCTGAACGGATAGAGACGCTTAATTCTTAGCACACGTCAGGGTACTCGATAGTGAATTTTACTGATTTCAACTAAAAAATTCTGTAGTTACTCAAAACGGTTTCCTTGCAATGTTTTAATATATTTCGAACTTTTTCAGTGCTGAATGATCTTACTTGCACTTTTTCGAAACTTATCTATACGACCGCTGTGAATTCATTCAGACTTCCGTCACTAGATGGCGGTACTTTCTCGATTTTTGCGAACGCTGACTTTCTCGCTTTCTTTTATTCTCGCCTAAGCAAAGAGAAGATCCCAGATCTGAGAGAGAGAGCGGCACTTGCAACTCACCAGCGTTAGCGGGCGGTAGGAAGCGGAGCTGCGCTTCAACAAGTGTCACTGTTGACGCGCGTTTAATAATGGCTTTCAGCTTTTGGTCTTGGGCAATTTCCATTTCCGTTAGTATGATGAGACCTTTGAGTGACTTTCGGCCGGTTGGTTAAATAAATTACATAAAAATGAACTGAAATTAGGGAATTGATAACCGTAGGTAGATTAAACTTGCAAATGTGAACTTGGGAATGCCTTCACTAAAATACCTGAACAGAGAAATGAATTCAGATATGTATATCACCCCAGAAAAGCTTTATGAAGATATAAAATCACCTGACACTCGTAGCCTGACCATTGACTGTAGGTCCGCTTCAGATTATCACGAAAGTCATGTTAAAGGTGCTATAAACGTTACTATCCCTGCTTCTGTTATCATGTTAAGGCGGTTAGCAAATGGGAAAATGAGCATTCCTAGTATCATAAGAGGAGCAGAAAATCGGGAGAAGTTTAATCAACAGTGGAAGACTCACCTGATCGTTCTATACGATTATGACACTGAAGCCATAAAGCTCTCTGGACCATGTGTTCTAAGCACGTTATTCCGACGACTCCGGCAAGATGGCTGCCAAGTTGTTTGTTTACAAGGTAAGGCATGATTAGCACTTTATTTTGTTCACAGTTTTTGCTGAAATTCACTTATAGTTACCAGTTAAAGTTTACGGTCTTGCATGATAAAAATTCTTGCAATCTTACCGCTATTAATTCTTGCAACATGTGTGTATATCTTTCAAATATTGTGCTAATAATCCTTATTCTAGATAAATATTAATATGAATAGAATTGTGAGAGTAATTATAATAAACTTTTTATTTTGTGTTATTTATGATAATAAAATCCTGAATGACAAGTATGAATTTTCAGACTGATGTTATTTTTAGATTACTTTCTTTAACCTGGATGTACCTTTATTTGTTAGAATTTTTCATGCTTATAATTCTGTTATGCAGTAATGAGAACAAATGAGCTTATGTTGAGTAACTAGACAGTTAATAACTTGGTATAATGGTTATTAAACTACATATTCATTTACGAGCAATTACTTTATGATAAAGATCTGAAGTTTGCTTGGTTTTGTCACATCTAAATTTAATCATTTATCGTAGTCACTATATAAAGTTTTATAAGTATCGATGTTGGTTTTAGACCTAATAATAAGCAACAGTAAATACTAACCGTAAAACAAAATGTAATGCGTTTGATTGTTGCCAATTTCAGCAAGAATATCTAACTTTTATGGCTGATCAAGCCTATAGATTTTTGTTAAACGAAACCAAAAATTAATGCTGTTTGTAGTGTAAATTGTGACAAAAGAATGATATGCGAAATTCGGATTAAAGATGCTTATTTATTCAGCTACCACTCTTGTTTAGTATTCTTAGCATAAATCTTCTTTCAGATTTTGATTAGTTTCTTAGTATGTAAAAATAAGTTCTTCAAAACAGAACTTTAGTTGAAATGTTTTTAATTTATGTAATGAGATGAAGTAACCTAACGCGTAAAAGTTCTTGGATGATCGAAAATGGTCAAATATAAAATTTTTCGCAATTTTTTTTAAAAATGATTATACCGAATTTTAGCAAGGTAGGGGCAGTTTACATTGCGTTTGAAAGTTCTTGTTTACTTTTAACTTCTGGTGGTTATTTCTTATTAGCTGAAACTTTGGTTGAAGTTTTTATTTTCCGAAATGGCAGTTTTGTATTTTTCTATTGGCGCTTAATGGGATCCGAAAGATACTTAAAATATGAGAGATTCTTTGACTTGTACCTTTTTTTTAAAAAAACGGACGTATTGATTTGTGTTTCTCATCACTCTAACTGAGCATACCCGTAAAACAGCCGAGAAACTTCCGCTCAACGTTTTCGGATGTTACGCATATTTCTTTAGTTCGGCACTAATGTATTTCAGAGCTGGTAACATGGCTTCATCTATCTATCCCACATAATTTTATGAATTGAACAGTTGATTAAATACAATGCGCTTGCATGGAACTCATAATATAAAAATATACATACTGATGAAAACATATTGGAAATATTGTAACAAAAACTCTTTTCAAGTAACGATGAATTTTATTTCACTGACATAATATAAAAGCCGAAAGTGACTGAAAATGCACAATTTTACCTACTTGCTACTTGGGTATCGAAATAGGAAATGATGCAGATTAGTTTCGAAGCAAGAAATGAAAACTACACGAATATTATTGACATTAATAACGTCTCCCAATAGATTTTTAATTTTTCGTCCCAGTCAAGCTCTAAATTTAACCTATCTACTTAAGCAAAACAGTTAGAAATGTTGAAGGTGTAGCGGGATTTTGCTGTTGAATTTGTTAGCGTTTCTAAAACGAAACTTGATCTTGCGAAAAGAAGCTTCTAACTGCCACCGCCCTCCCTTGTACAATTCTGAAAAATGAAAGTTTGAAGTTCGTTCGTAATTGCGTAACTGCCTGTGAAGGTGAAGAAAATGTTTTGGAGAAAATTTCTGTCATAGAACTGCTTTCCTTTTATAAGCGATAAACTATAATATTAATACTTATCTCAAATTTAATTATTTTAGGGATGCTACGCGAAGAATAAATATCTTACATGTTTAGTAACATTATTCTTAATTATAATTGCATATTAAGTAACATTATTCGTAATTATAATCAAAAAACAAATATACGAACATTTTTACTTCCTTTAAGGTATTTATTTGGTTTCTCAGTCTCTCCTCAATGTAGAAGTTTTGGAACAAGTGGCCCAACGTAATGTTAGTAGAAGCTGCGTGATAGATTACAGGAATATTTAAGATAAATTTTCCAAAGAGTCGCAACTATACTTTTAAGTTTTTTTTTTTTTTTTTTTTTTTTTTTTTAACTAGAAAAATCATTTTAAGAGTGAGAAATTTTTAGGTAATTAACAAGGATTTTTTATTTCTTAATTAAAGCAGTTATTTATTAACATGAGTAAATAATTCTCGTTCATCTTGGTCTGTGGTATAAAAATTTAAAGATTTTGCATATATTTATTCGGAATGCTTTTTAACAGATGCAAAAATAAGAATTTTCTTCTAGTTTTCATAACCTTTTTTCCTGATTATAATTGTTAATTAATTTTTAATAAGGGTAAGCTGGAAACGAAAGACGACATAGTTACTTTTTTATCGGCAGTTTGAATGCTAATCTTAAAAGGTTTACTTTCGAGTGAAGAATTACTCAATAATTTGAAAAAAATGACTAACGCTTTTCCTTTATTTTTAACATATTCGCACTCTTCTTGAAAGAATAAAACAAGTGAGATGGAATAGCACACGTTTCGAAGAAACTGCATTTCGAGATGCGAAAATTAATTTTAAATAAGGTAACTATAATAAAAGTAACTTTGCTCTGGAACGCGCGTGAGAATCGGTTTACAGAGAAATTCAATTACGGAATTCGCTCGATGGGAATCTGGGTATCAGGCATGTTATGATTTTCCTTAAAAGGTACAGTTATAGGCATTATAGTACCCGTGATTAAGATTCGAAGTGTTTCATCAGTGCCTGTGTCCTAGTAGCCATTCTGTTCTTAAAATAGTACATATATGATCAAAAGTCGCAGAAATGGAACTAATTTGCCTTTTGTGCAAGTGCAAAGTGCCCTATTAAAATTTGTTTAAAATTTTTATATGCGTAATGTAATAAAAAATTAAATTAATGATTGTTAAAAGCAAGATTTATATTTCGAATTATAATTATGCTTCACAAATAAAACTTTTGTTTATTACAGCCAAAGCCACAGTTAAAATACAAAAGTCGCAGTTTGGCCATGCCTATTATAAAATAATTTTACCACCGTTTTTTTTCATTTGGATGTTTCATCATCTTGAAAAACGATGTTACGTTTCACACGTTTAAAGCTTTAAAATGCAATTCCCAGAGAATGGGAAAATAGAGGTTTCATATATTATGTAGTATCTCGGTATAAAATAGTTGTTTCCGCAACAAAGTGTTTTTCGTATCTTTATGTTAAATATTTAAGTTAAGGAATCTTGAACGCTTAAGAGAGTTCTAGTTGCACTCTGTACTGAAATCTCATATGTTTTCCTGCATCGTTATTACTTATCATATTGTTTCATTCATAATGAAATTCATACAGTCGTAGTTTTTTTTTGCTTTTCCTAATGAAAATACGAATATCTTTTCGTCTTTCAGTGGAAGCTTTATTTCTTTCAATCTTTTCTTTTGGGCTTCGAAAGTTTCAACTGTCCTATAACATATAGTTCACTCAAGGTCGGCGCCAGAGCCGGTGTAACCGGCGCGGAAGCACCGGTCATAGTTTCTGCTTAAGGGCGGCAAAGTTCTCAGAATTTAGGGAGGCTGTGGATGGCAGAATTTAGGAGAAGATTACCCGGGCGGCAAAAAAAAAAAAAAAAAAAAAAAAAAACCTAGCGCAGCCGTTAGTTCACTTAAAACTGTTATAAAATGATGAAGTGGTTTAAAATAACATATTTGCACAAACTTTGCAGATAAATTCATAGCTATGTAAATTAGCTCTCAACCAAAGTATTAAAGATAATGTTCAAGGGATCCTATTCCTTAACAAGGGCTCTTATTCCTTATATGAGCTAGGATAGCGAGAAACTGCCGCACCGACCTCTACGTAATTCCTGGTGGTTCCGTCATAGCCAATCCGATATCACGACGAAATTCAACACATTAATATTTATGGACGATAACGCCCGCTCGCATAGAGCTCGACTGGTGCGGAGTCATCTGGAGAGTGAAACCACTGAGCGTCTGCTGTGGCCTGCTAGATCACCGGACCTGAATCCCATAGAGCATGTGTGGGACATGTTGGGGCGACGGATAGCAGGTCGCAGTGGGCCGCCAGTCAGTCTTCACGAGCTCCGACATGTATGGCTACACATATGGGCGCTGCCGCCACAACAAGCGATCAATACACTGTTGACAGCTTGCTTTGCCGTTGTCAAGCATTGAAATGCATCATACCAATTGCTATGGCAAATTGGCTCATATCCTATTGCTATGGCAAATTGCAAATAGAGGCTATCGTACCCAATTGCAAATTCTTTCGACCCATTTAGTCTTTTGCGATATGATGGTAGTAATAATGTGTTTTTGTATGCCTATACTTTATTGCTTGCTGTGCGGTCTAATAATGTCACACCAACCTCTTGGATCAGTTTCACGCATATCCATTAAATAGTTTTTGTTTTATTCCGTGTTTTGCCTTTGTTGCTTATTTTTTTAGCAGACGTGTAATGCATTACAGCAAGTGTTATTTTCTTCTAATACCCTATAACAGCGGTTCTCAACCTTTTGAATAACGCGTACCATCCAAACAAAAATTGAAAAACTTTAGTACCACCACTACAAAGTACCACTACCACCACCGCCACTCTTGAACAAAGCTCAGATCGCATAAATTTACGAGTGTTATAGAAAAACTTCCATCAGGATGTTGGCGTTTAATTTTTGAATTTAATAGTTAAAAATACTTTGTTTCTTTGCGCACCACCTATTTTGCTCTTGCGTACCACCGGTTGAGAACCCCTGCCCTATGGTATACCGCTTGCGAAGTTTCTAACTCTTACTTTTTG